ATTGATTTTACAGGATAATGAACCAAACAGTTATTTGAAAGTTTTTATCTAGATTTTCATAAGTAAAAATAACATAAAATGGAAGTTTTCAATCAATCATACGTTAGAATTCTTTCTATACCACGAAAATCTATACTGCAAATTTGCTTTAGATCCTTTTCTATTGAGTGGGATTTTGAAATAAAGAATGGAGCTGTCATCAACACGACTGGTCATTTCACAAGTAATAAAAAATTCACATAGACTATTAGCAAATAAAGACTCATAAAAACACTGACTAGGGAATCTGAATTTGGCACAATTAAAAATACTCATGATGAAATAGTGTTACAAAATCTTAACAGTGCAATAAATAGGTTAACTGAGAAAAGATTATTAAAATAACTTAAACATATTACAATTTAAATTATAACCAGTGTGCAAGAAAAATATGGAAATTAATTTGTTAAGTCATCATCCTGCATACTCTAAGAACACCTAGAGAGTAACCTCACATGGATGAGTGCTCAAAATCATTTGCACCAATTTTTTAATTTTTTAAAGCAGCTTTAAAATAACTGACTCCCAAATCAAGATATTAAATGCCAACTTCTAGCTGGCAATAATGCCTCCGGCTAAGATAGAAATGAGATTCTTTACAGAAACGCTGACACAGCTCTAACTGTAGGCACTTGAGTGTGCGGCTCTAATTCTTTTTTCAAATCTTGCCCAGCAAAGCTTCAGGTAAAGCAGTCCACAGAATGTGTAAACAGTAAGGGGCAGTCCTAGAGCTCTGACAAAATCACAAATCTGTGACACATTTCTATTCATCTTTGATTGTGAGTGCTACGTGACTAAATCATTCAAAATGTACTGATTAGCTCTTTAATAGATAAAAAGTGGGCAAGATATTATGAAAATCAACATTTCCTAATTCATTCGATTTGCAAGAGCTACACATTTTAAGCTGACAATGTAAAACCTCGAAAAGGTTTTTCAAAAAAGGCTTCCGCCTTATTTAGCATTTTGACCATAAATCAGAAACAATAAAAAAGAAAATTAAGAAAAAAAATTACAGAACAAAGATGAAGAAAGCTTTTCTTTTTCATTTGGAAATCTATTAAACTATGAAATAAGTTGCCAAGAAGAGTCAGTTTCCTATGTGGAAAGCACATAAAACTGAACCAGATAACATAATCTCAGAAGAGGCCAAGGGAATACAATTTACACTGGGAGGTGTGTGGCTGGGACAGAGGACTTAATTGTCTAATCCTAATCCTCATATTTAAAAATGTCTAAGATAATGATTCTTTTAATGAGGAGATAATTTTAAAGCCCAGCCAACTCTGCCCTAATCACGATAGGGTGGTGTTTTTTCTCCTCCGCATTGTTATCCAGCCAACAGATGACCATCGATCCTACACTGGGAAATAGTGTTTTGATGTTTATTGATCAAAACCGTACGAGGGAAATTGTGATTTATGAATGGAAGACTATCATGAGTTATCACTTCTTATAAATACAGAACTGGGATAAGCATATGTTAGGAATATCACATTAAACAAATACTAAAATTATTAATTTGTTAAGGTAAACAAAAGTATCTTTAATAAGTTTATGTGGGTCAATACTACATAATGAGGATGAACTTAAAATTGTAACATCTTGCATCACAATATTCTGATTTTGTACGATTCTAAAAATTTGCTAACTTGCATCACTTTTAATTTCTATTTTACTCAAGTAACTCACCATTATAACAGAAAAGCAAGTTGAAATGTATAACGAACTTATTTTAAAAATCATCGCTAAATTTTATCTTAAACTCAAGCTAATCATCCATTTAAATTCAAATTTAATCTTTCACAATCTGCATTTTACTTAAAGGCAAAATTCACACTTATTATGAGTTATAAATTATCATGCAAATCTCTAGGAAGTTGTCAACTGGGGAAGTCTTTACCTTGTATCATGGCATGAAACAACACTCATTTTATTATAATATTAATTTCAAATGCTAATTTTCTCTTCATTAGATGGCAGAAAAGAAATAATGTGCTGCTAATATTTTTATAAAGAATATGCTTCTGAATAAGAGTTTCAGAGAAAATAATACATTCAGGACTGATATTTAAATTTTGCAAATGCCTAGTAATCCTATTAATTAGGTATAGAAGTCTGTTAAACACACTGAGCACAGGCCAGGAAAATCAGGCAAGGCCAGGTCACATACACACACACTTCATAGGCTACCTGCAGTTTTATCAAGGCAGCTTATTGTTTTCTTAAAAATTTTAAATATGACAAAAACATGTACAAACATTTTAGTTACTGTAAAAGCATTATATGGCTTGTGACTTATTTGGGCCCAACTCCCTGTGACTGCTTTCAGATGAAACAAGGAATTTTCTTAAAATTAAATTTTCAGTATTCCCAAAGGAATCCACTACTCATTAAAAATTTTTAGCATCTGAAAAAGTATGTTCTTCAGGCTAGCAGCGCAAAGGGAAAAGTAAAATCCAGTTCCAACAATTACCCAACTTCGACTCCCTCCCCATCAAGGGCAGATTTACTAAGTACATGCGGGTCCTAGAAAATTAAAAGACTAGTTTTCAAATCTAGAAAACATTTCATCTACTTGCTGTTGGGATTTACCAAAGAAGTTCAATGTCAGCTGAAAAAGGTAGAAAAAAAACTAGGAGCCATCCAAAGGGCCAAGTGATCATCTGTCCTTTTGGATACCAGCTGGGGTGGGGCGCGTGGAAGGGTTGGGGGAGATTTTAATTTGGGTCTACCCTGTTCAGCCACTCTGTTTTCCTTTCACATCCTAACCCCCTCGTGTTATAAGGCTGGAAACAGCTCCAAGAATGTAGAGAATGTAAACAGCCTTTTATTGTCCAAAAGGATGGCAGTGTAAGGAACGTGGCTTATCACACAGCTGCAGCTCCCACCTCACTTACCATGATAAAGTGCTCCAGGAAAAAAACATTACAACCCAAGCACAATCCCAACATGGATTAGAATTGGACATAAGCTTCCTTAAAAACTAATCAATCAATCCGTGCTGTAATATTAGAATCTGGCTCTTAAGGAGGGTATATAATCCCTTCAAGATGTATTTCCTGTTCCTTATTGACTACGGTGGTGTGAAAATAAGAAATCTAACATTTCCAATATAGTAGCTGATAGGAGAACTTTTTCCCAACACATGCCCAAATATACCTCCTCATCTTTAAGTCAAACACAGTGAAGAGATACACAGTTCATGATCATTGAAGGCAAAGTTAAATTAATGAACTAAGAAATTCATGCAGATATTCTGAAGACCCTACCTGAGCACCCGACTTCCCCAGGCTGTTAGAGTTTTACTTCCAGACCATACAAATGCTGCTTTGTTAGATCACCTTTCATTGCAACCCAGAACAAACATTTTTAAAGAGCAAGTGATACTAAAGACTAATATGGCATATCTGTTGCATGCATAATGCCTTGGATGTAAATTTATTTTAACACGCAGTATTGTACATAGCCAGTATGTGCGGGCTCATTCAAGGACATTTGGGAACATCACTGCATTTTCTTCTTGATGCCACGGAAGAATTTCTTAGTTAACACTGTGCAGGTGAAGCTAATCTCTGCTCTAACAAGAATGGACAGGCCCTTCAGTACCCTCTCCCCTTCTCTAAGACCTTTGAAAGTCCCTTCCATCCTCAAAACTTGCTAAGTATGTCTGCCTCTACAATATCATACGTATCATAGAGAAACTTTCATAACTTACTTGATCTTTCCCTTTAAAGGGTAATAAGAGAGAGAGAGAGAAGAAGAAAGGCAGGCAGAAAAAGAGAAGGGAGGGAGGAAGAAGGAAGGAAGAATGGAAGGAAGGAAGGAAGGAAGGGAAGGAGAGGGGAAGGAAGGAAGGAAGGAATCATCATTCTCTACGTGGCTGGTTTTCTTAACCTTGTCTTAACAGCCCAGAGCTAACTGGATAAAGTCTTAAGTATGAGGACGAAAGAAAGCGTGGAATCTGGAGAAAGCTCTCTTAATAGCAGCGTATCAAGATTAAGTGCCAAGAGAGCAGAAGAAATCCGTCACAGAGGCGAACTGAGCCAAAGCAGTCCCCTTTTATAATTTTACTTTAAAAGTTGTCTTCTTGAAGGTCTTACTCGGGATCTCCCTTGAATATAATTAACTAGCAATATATACCGCATATAGGTATATTTCGGAAGGAGAGCGTGGCGCCACGCGGGAAAACGAGGACAGATGAGAGTTACACCGGGGACAGTCGTCTCTATAGAGCCTCGCTGGCGAACCCTGAACCACCTTCTACCACCCTTCCTAGTCCTCAGCGCCCCCTGAGCCGTCCAGACCAGGCGGGAGGGGTCTTCGGAAACATGGAGAGGTCCTGCGTGGAGTTGGGCGTGAAAGTTACATCCTGTGTCCCCGCCGGCAAAAAACCCCATGCCAGTCCCCAGCGCCAGACGGAAAACGAAGAGAAATCCAATCGCCCCTAAACTCAGTCTTCTGCCTAAGTTTTCCCCCAGCAAGGCGCCACTAACTGGCCCTGCGAACGAGGATGCACGATGCCATGGTTTGTAAGAAGTGTCTGTAGGCATCTGGGCAAAATACCACGTGAAAAATAAACCCCACCAAGCCCCTCAAATCCTGGGCTGGAGGCAGGTCTTTCAGCCCATCCTCATCATGTCCCTCTACCTTCATCCCTTGACCGCTTCGCAAACCTCTTCCTTCTCCCGCACCTTCTTCCCGGCCACTTCCTGCCTACTTTACCCCAGCCCTCAAGTTCCAATCCTTGCTAACCCCCCACGCGCCTCAAGGTCCCACTATTCCATTCTCCGATTCTTCTCCTCCAGCCCCTAAGGCAACCCCAAACTCCCTGCACTCCGCACGCCCCCAGTCCCATGTCCCAACAGCCCCAGGCTCCGCTTCCGAGTTGGGCACCGGCGGGGTTTTCCCGCCGAAACCTGTCCCCAGCGCGTGGGGCGCGCGGCGGGCCGGGCACTCACCAGCTGCAGCAAGCCGGGGACCACCACGAGGGGCAGCGGCCGCAGGCGCATGGTGCCGGCTGGCGCGGCGTCTCACGAGCTGCGCGCCCTCGCCTGCCTCTCGCGCATCTCCACTTCGCGGGGCAGGACTGAGGACGCCAGGGACACAGCGCGGCGCTTCCCTCCCGGAATCCGAGCGCAGCGCAGCGCCGGCCGGGTGGGTGGGCGGGAAAAGGGGAGGGCGCGGGGACACGCGGGAGGTTCTTCGGGGGCCCCCGCGCGCCCCTCCTTCGACGGGGTTGGCAAAGGAGCGTGCGGGCCGCTCGAGCTCCGGCACAATGCGCGGAGCTCCAGCGGCGGCCGGGGGCTCCTGCGTCCTGGGGTCGCCCGCGGGCCAGAGACTGCGACTCGGGCGCTTCAGTGCCGGGTTCCCGCGCGAAGCTGCTCTGGAGATCCGGCCTCGCCGTGCGGCTGCCCGGCAGAGCTGAGCGCGTCTCGGAGCCCGGCGAGGCCCGGCGCCTCCTCCGCCCACGCCCAGCAGAGGGCCGGGCCGGGTGCGCGGCTGGGCCAGGCGCCCTGCCCACTGACCCGCTGTGGTTTTGCTGCGGAGATGGGAGCCAGGGGGGCGGGGGTCTCTCTGCGCGGATGCAGGAAGGAGTATGCCCGGAGAGCACCCAGGGAGTTTCAGGAGAAGGCGATCGCAGGGTCGTGGGGCGGGGTGTAGGGGGCTGAGAACAAGAAAGGCTGGCGAGGGGAGGCGGGGTGCTGGAGCCCGGGACGCCCGGCAGAGCGCCCTGCTCTGAGGCAGAGCTTGCTTCGCTCGGAGAGCCCGAGCAAGGGGTACAAAGTGTGGTTGGCGCGGCTGGAAGGATTTCTGAAAGTGGAAAGTAGTGGGAACCGAGAGAGACCTCGAGGGGGAGTAGGGATGGGCAGGGCTGTGAGGAACCGAGCTAGGTTTAATGGTCCCGGCTTATTCCGGTTTGAGGATGGTATAGACAGCTGGGTGTCCAGGAGACCGACAGAGCTGCGCTGCGAGGACCTCCCGCCTTGGCGCGTGGGGAGAGGGATAAAGAGAGGAGACCCTGCCGCAGCTTCCTACTCGGGAAATCTTGGAGAGGGGAATCTTCCAGGGCGGGCAGGGCTGCGAAACTGCAGCCCCCGTGAGCCTCACCCTCGTGTTAACAACTCTCCGTGGGAGAGATCCTTAATTTTTAACTATCTCTGTGCTGGACACTCGTGTGGAAAAGTCAAAGGACAATGGGGCTTACAGACTCTCACAGTGTCTACGGTGGAGGAGAATTTAGACATCATCCATCAACCCCTTTATTGAACAGATGGAAAATCTAAGGTCTAGAGAGATAAAGCCACTTCTCCAGGGAGGAGTCTCTAGGCAGCTGCTTCCAAAGCATACGCCAGGCAAGGCTACTTCCTACCTGCAGAAAGGCAAAGCTCTTACAGAACAAAAACGTATTGAGGCAAGTGAGTAGAATTGCGATTGGTTTCCAGCCTTTAAAATGTAAAACACAACAAAAAGTGAAATTTGGGTAGGGATTTTAGGGAAAAAAAATGTTTCCTTCTCCTCCCCTTACTACCTCCCACTCCAAAACAGAAATGAGGAGGGAGTTTGTAAGTGTTGAAGGGTCTAGGACCACGTTTGCAGCAGCACAGCCTTCCTCCTAGGTCCCAAGAGCAAGAGGATTGACTTGGGTAGGGCAAGGTCCCGCCCTTCCTTTCAGGGGATGTGCCAAGATTGTGCAGATGGGAGGGAGGTGATTCCAGAGTGACTTTGAGAGATGTTGTCCCTCAGGCTACAGGTAGGTTGTCTCCCTAATACAAGTCTATTCCATGTGTGGAAGGAGAGAAGCGAAGGCCCTATATCCTTCCTAACCCTTTGCCAAGCCTGACCTGGGGGTTCTAGGGCCCTGTGCCAAAGGATGCACCAGTTCTGTCCCACCTCTGCTTGTCCTCAGACTTCCTATTCCTGGCAACAGACTCTTAAAAAGAAACAAAATCGTTGTTTAGTATCTAAATCTATAACTCACCCCATACAGCTACCTCTCACCTCCACAAAAATTCTCTCTTAATCAAGGCTTAGAGCCCACTTCTAGAAAGTTATTCTGTCCTAGGAGTATAAGTAAGATAATTTCAAAAAATGCAAGAGATCTCTATGAGTGGATCTTCTCGTCCAACTTTGGTTCCCGGATAGGGCTGCATTTTATTTACAAACAATCTTTGAGAGATGAGAAGGACTTAATAGGAAAGGGTTTGGCAGATATAGAGGAACTGTTTTGTGGAGAGGTGCTGCCAGAGAGGAAGGGGGGCAAACAGCTTTGCAAGATGCAGTACCTCGTTTAGACTCAGTGTCTGCCTGAGCCTCAGCTGACTCATCTGTAAAACCAGAAGGTGAGTCCCTTCTTGGTTTAGTTGTTTCCAATTCTGTTATCACTGACTCTCTAAATGAGGACTGCGTGACTTCACACACTATTGAAATAAATAATTAAGTGATTTAATTACTGGAATACTTCACTCTTTTCTTTAAATTTGTTCATATTTCTTAGACTTTTTCTGCGCTTTTGGAAAACTTATACATAAAATTTGAAAGTGGAACCTAAACTTGACATCTGTCCTAGTAATACTAAGTATTCTCACAAAGGAACACGCTGAAGGGTGTTGAATTCCAAGGTAAAAGCTGAGGGATGCAAGAGAACTTGTGTGTCCCATTGATCAGGCTGTGTAATAGAGAAGCACCAAGGACCCCATTGATTAAAGTCTGGTATTACTGTGTTTATTTATAAGGTGACTATTGATAATTTACTGTATTCCCCAAATGTTGGTGTACACACTATGGGAAAGTCAAGGAAGGAAGGGAGGGAGGGAGAGAGAGAAGAAGTGAAGGGAAGGAAGGAGGGAGAAGTGAGAGAGGAAGGAAGAGAGAAAGATAGATGGAAGCTTTTAGTATGTTGACTCTGTCCTTTAGAACATACAGTCTAACCAGAAACACAGAACATACAAAACACAGTAGACAGTATAGACAAATATACATTTCAGTGCTGCCAGGTACCATGGGAGGAAAGAAAGATCATTGTAGGCCAACATGAATGCTTCATAGAAGAGATGAAATGTAAGCTGGCTCAGCTTCCAAGAATGGCCAAGATTAGTCTACATGGGAGAAAATGGGGAAAGCCATTGCATGCAGGAGGAACAGCATGAGCAAAGGCAGAGTGGAGGCAGTTCATATGACGTAATTGAGAGATGGACAGTAAGTAGACCAGACTGGCTGGAGGAAAGGTGTTGAGGAAAAATGAGAGGAAAGGTAGATTATGGGCTAAACTGTAAAGATCTGGGAATGCCAAGCTAAGTAGTTTAGCTTGATCTTCAGGAAATAAGGGGTCTTAAAACTTTTTGGAGTAGAAAAGTCATACTTGGAGTAGCATAAAGATAAATGCAGTAGTAACATGCAGGATGGTCTTGAGGAGGTTGCATGAGGAGATCGTCATGGCGGTTGGAAAGAAAAGAATAGAGAGACAAGGATGCAAGAGCTATTATAAGGGAATGGTGAACTGAACTTGGTGTTGGAATATTTTAAAACTTTCCTGGCCTATTAAAGGATTTTTTTTTTCATATCTCCACTTTCTCTCTTAGAGGCAACTCAACAACTGGAGAATCAGATCATTGCCTTTTCATTTTGCAAGGGTGGTTTTTGCAGCATGAGGGAATTGAAAATGGTCTTTTCATATAGACAAGTAGCAGAAAGTGGAACCTACCAAATTTTACTGCCATGTGATTCCATTGTAGTCTTTTAAGAAGGTAACTTATGGGGATATTGTCATTGCTTAGAGACCAGATTTGTCAGCTTTGGCTTCTCTGGACCATTAGCTTTCTTCTTGTGCTTCTCCTCTATGCTTTCTTTCTCCCCCTTTTACTGTTCATTAGCATCATTACCAGAAAGTGGATAAAGACATAATATACAGTAGCATTTCAGAGTGGATGTTACCCCAATTTTGGATATTAACCAATTTTCTCACTTTTAAGGTCATGTGACTGGCTTCGTGTCACCTGGAGAGGTGTGGGCACATCTGAAACTCGACTCAAGACCTTCAGTTTCTCAGTGTGGTGCTCCTTCCCATTCATCACTCTGCCTCAGGTATTTTTCAACTGGCCAGCAGTTATAAAAGTTTTGATGCAGTGAAAGAGTGGACCTTTAGCTAATAAGAGTTGTGGGGATGATCTATGGATGGTAAAAAGCCCCAGAATCTATCTTATTATCAGGAAAAGAGGTTTGACTGTACTGAGCCCGAAGCATTGATCTGGTCGTAATTTTAGAAGGGTGAGCGATAAGGAGAATTACATAGCGTGGGGCTACTGTGCAGCCTCAGAGAAGTGGCATTCAGGGCTCAAGAACATGAGACTGCTTACCCTGAGGATGGAGGGAATTCTCAAGGAGCCTTTGGACCTCTAAGACCTCTGTAATAAGAAGCTGCTGGGCTTTTTGGCAGCAATTCTTAACAACCAGAATCCTTTGGGGTTGCCACTCTTGTTGAGGACTTGAATATTCTTGAATCACCATTTAATAAAATATGATGCTGTGTTACATTGACTCTCAACGCTCTTGAGCGGTAGGCAATGCACAGCTCCATCCCACCGCAGGTGGAATCACTGGGGACTAACATCTCTAAAAGTAGACTTGAGTGTTGTTATTTTCTGCCCAGGAGATTTCACCATACAGCTATGGTTGAGAACTACTGCTCTACAAGAAATTTCTCTTTTTCTCTTTTCTTCTTTCCCCCTCTCCCTCCGTTCCCCTAGAGAATTACAGCCCCCACATTTGGAATGCACTGAAGTTTTAATGGAATCTCATTAGAACCTGTTTACACTCTTAGTTCTCTAGGCCTTTTCAGGAAAGAACTGCACATTTTCTTTGTAGGTATTTGGGCGTGGGGGATGACTGGGGGATTTGTAAAGTTTTATCATATAAACTTCTCAGTTACTCCAGGTTGAAACTCAAATCAAAGGATTCCTCTGGAGTGAAATCGCTCGTTCTCCACCTTGGGTGGCCACAACACTATCTTTCCACCACCTTTCCAGCTGGATGTTGGTGTGCTGGTGGTTGATGCCACTGTCAGCAGCCAAGAGGA